GTTAAAAGGGGCATGGACATTTCTCTTTTTGTATCGAAAAAATATCGAACCGTGAGACTAAAGTATCGAACCGAATCGTGAATTTTCTGTATCGTTGCAGCCCTAGTAAATACAGCCCTGCTTCTTGGGCACCAACAGACACACGGGGTGCAAATGAGCTACAAATTAAAACAAATAAAATAAACTAAAATAAAACCTGCACGAGGTCACTTTTCACTGCGCACAGCCGGAGGCCACACTGACTCATGACTCGGCCTGTCAGAGGTCCAGGAGCTTCAGGGTCCAGGGGGACATATCCTGAAGAACTCTGCAGGATCCTGAAACAACAGATCACACTTTATCTCCTGTAGAGGCAAAAACTGCATGACCGCCGGTCCGAACTGACCCCAGAATCCACACTGGTACGAACAGGTCCTCAGTGCAATACAGACCGATGAGCCCTCTTCTGGGGGAACCGTTCTTCAGTAAAACACCAGAGAGCTTCTCTGCGAGCCGAGTCAGWTCTCTGTACGACAGACACACCGGGTCCTTGGAGCCCTGCAGGCCCGAGCCGCTGTCAAACATCACCGCCGTTCTGTCCGGGTGCAGGGAGGCGGCGGCGGCCACCAGCTCCTGAAGCGTCCGGGCAGCCATGAGGCGTTCACTGACCACCACCAGCTGGTTCTCCTTCAGTGCCCGTACTGTCCGGAAACACACGAATTCATTTCTATCTTTCTTTAACTCGAATCATCTCATAATRTTGCTTTGTTTTTGCTGGGGATTCCTGATTGTCGCACACTGATGACGTAACGGTTGAAAATTACGTCCCCAGCAATGTTGCRTTTTTGGTCTTCTTAAAAACTCAGGAACATGGGGATTTAGAATCTTGACTACTCATAAAGTTTATTACAATGATGCAAACACATCTTAAATGTGTGGTTTAGTTTTGTATTACTTTATATAAAAACCTTACGAGTTATTGTTTTAATCACTCTCACTTTTTTGTTTTCACTCTGCCTTTGACTTAATAGTAGAGTAGGTGGTGTCTGTAATTTACGAGTTGAAATTGAACGCCTCACGTTTCCATTGGGCAATCGTATTACGCCATTTTTTAAAAGACAGACTCAAACTAGAAGCGCCTGTTTTAATTGTTCTCATCATCATCACCCAGAAGAAAAACTCTCATTTTAATATAAAACATGGCGCATAGTTTAAATGCACAAATGAATGAAAATGGCTTAAAATTTAAAACGTCGTTGGATCGAATTGTAGAAAAGGTTCGTCAAATTAAACACGCAGCCACGGAGTTAGCAACTGTTAGCTTAGCTTTAGCTTCCTACACGATCCGTGCAGATAGTTAACAGTTTACTTACATCTGTTGTTTTTTTCCCAACAGTATTCAAAACTTAAGCATGAAGACGGAGGGATGGAGGTGGACCTCAATGATGTAAAAATTACAAGTAAGTAACAAAAACAATTTTTTTTCAGTAAAACTATTATTAAATCATAGCATTGTGTATAGACGTTAATGAGCTGCGCTGAATCATCAAATAAGTTTAAATGATAATCAAGAGCAGCAGAAAATCAATAAGTAACATTTTTTAAATAGTGTTGAAATCTAGTTTTAGCAAAAAATGTTTTATTTTTCTCTTTGAATGTTTGTTTTGTCGCCATCTACTGTTCACGTCGTGTTATTACTGCCAACGAGGAGCAACACGATTTTATATATTATTATATTTATA